AGGCCTAAACCACCAAAACAAAGATGATTTTTTAAAGAAGTGCCCTAATATTTTTCAAACCAGGCCAGGAAAAGGGGTTCAAGGGAGCAGCAGCACTGCAGCAGGGGCAGCAGAAATTGCCAACCGGTCCAAGCCAATCTCTCTCTCTCGTCACCAACAGCAGCAGGAACCATAACAGCAATGGAGTCAGCTAGGGAGACTGGCTCCTTTTATGCTCTCTGGCCATACACAGAAGATTTCGAAAAGGAACACCTTCTGTGATTGGCCAGAGAGCAGATGCCAAAACCCTAATGACCACTAGTGCTCCTTCCCTGGGAAAAGAGCAAGCTAGTGGCAGCAGCAACAGTCTTGCAAAAAAGTTCCAAAGTCTAGTTCCCTCTCCCCCCCCTCCGGAAAACAGGAGCACAGGGCGGGAAAGAGGGGGAAACGGTGGGAAAACGGGGTTTCCCTGCTGCCCTTCAAAGTTTAAAGCCCCCGAATGCCGTTTTTCGGCAATGCCGAAAAAAGCAGAAATCCCCCACCCCGAATATCCGAAAAGGCTTGTACTCGTCATTTCGGAATCCCAAAGGCCGAAAAATCCCGAAATGCACACCCCTAGTCACCCTAAGCCAGCTACACCTTGATGGCAGCTCCCACCACGAACACCTTTTATTATATTTCATTTTTGCTTTTCTTACAAGAAGTTTTGTCCTGCATGGTTCATGGCCGCGTCATCATAAACTTCAGAATGGATGGTGGAAAAGTGGGGAAGGGAACACTTGGTCCCATACCCCATCCAGTGTTCCCTCTGAGCTGAGTTAGTGTGAGCTAGCTCACAGTTCTTTAGCCTCCGGCTCACACATTTTTGTCTTAGCTCAGGAAGGAGGGCTCCAGAGCAAACTGATTTTATTCAGTAGCCAAGTTGCTTGCTCAGAACTTTAATGCCAGTAGCTCACAAAGTAGAATTTTTGCTGACGAGACTCCACAGCTTAGAGGGTGCATTGGAAAGGGGCCATTTATAGCCTACAAACTTTGTAGACATAAAACCCTGTATTTCCAATTACTGCTAAAAACATACTTCCAGGTGGGCGGCCGTGTTGGTCTGAAGCAGCAGAACCAAGTTTGAGTCCAGTGGTACCTTTAAGACCAACAAAGTTTTAGTCAAGTGTGCGCGCACACTTCCTCAGATACAGTGAAATGGAATTTACCAGTCCATACATATAGGCAGATATTGAGCAATAAATTAGCTAATTTATTGCTAATTTACTGTATGCTAATTTACTGCTCAACCACTGCCTATATGTATGGACTCGTAAGTTCCATTTCACTGTATCTGAGGAAGTGTGTGTGCACACAAAAGCTCAAGCTCATACCTTGAATAAAACTTCATTAGTCTCAAAGGTGCCCCTGGACTCTTATCTTTGTTCTGCTGCTAAAAACACAGAAATGCTGGGTGGGTGAATTCAGTGGTTGTGTGACAGTGAGGGGTCTTGGTTCCTATAGATGGTGGTTTTGGGGTTGAGCCAAGGGGAGGTTTTACGAGCAGCCTTGAGCCGGCCTTGAGGAACCCGAGGGGTCGTCTCCTACAGCAGGTCCAAGCCGACCAATCAGCTTCTCTCGGGCTGGCGGGGTGTGTGTGTTTGTGTGTGGAGTTCCCGGTAGACCTGGAGTCCAGAGGCTTCCCTCTGGTCTGACCCATTCCTAATCTAGGCAGACTGCTGCTGGGGCCTCACCCTTAGTCAGTTCTGACTTTGGCTTGAAGACGGGCAGTGGCGGGTTCTTCCACGGTGGCCTCTTCCACTTGGTGGCTCCCTCCTGTGGCAGCGAGGCTCCAGTGCGGGAGGGCTGGGCGTTCCCCTCCACTGCTCTTTGGCAGTGTTCCCTTGTTGGCACCATCTTTCCATCAGAGGCTCTCTGGGCGGCAGGGAGGCTGCAGCGGCAGCAGTGTCTTTCCCAGCGGCTTCTTCCAGCAGCGGCTTCCTCTGTCAGTGGCGAGGCGGCAAGGCCTGAACAGCCTTTGAGATATTTAGTGCATTTCGTGGTCAAGGATTGTGCTCCCTCCTCACAGGTCATGCATCCCCGGGACGATTTCCTTTTTGCAGGCCCGCCGGGGATGCCCACTTGCGCCTCGCGCTTGGCTGCCTTTCAAGCCTCAGCTGCTGAGCTTGGGGATTCCTTTAGCTCAGAGCAAGATGGAAGGCCTCTCCACCCAGCCGGGACGTCTAAGAATCCTACTGGATTCGGCCCAGGGCACCTCTGGCTTGCCAGATGACAAGCTGGTAGCCCCGTGGGCTCTCTCATCCCAGGTTATCACCAGCAAGGAATGTTCACGGAGGGGAGTTCAGGCGTTTCTTGGGCACCTGGCTCTCACCCGCAGGATTGTGCTGCCAGGGCAGGCCTTCTAGGCGCCTTGCTTTCCTGAGCTTCCTCTGGGGTTTCATCTCAGCGGCATCGTATGAGAATGACTGTGGGTATGAAGCCGAAAAGAGCAAGAGTCCAGTAGGACCTTAAAGACTAGCAGAATCTGTGGCAGGGGATGAGCTGTCGTGAGTCCCTGCTCACCTCTTCAGATGTGAAGGCAGGCCTTCAGGTCTGGCTCTGCTTCTTGTCAAACTTTAACGGGGTTTCCACCTGGCAGTCACCCCGGGGACTGGGCAATTCCTTGCTGGTTGACACCGACACACGTTGAGCTTTCGCATTTACCTTGCGGGTCATTGGTGCACCCAGCGTTGGCTGTCCCATTGTGCTTGGTCCAGCACACTGAAGGACCTCACCTTTCTGTAGTCCCCCCCCCCCCGATTCTTGTGGCAGTGATTGTTTGTTTTGTCAAGAAGAGGTGGGTTCTGTTTTGATGTGACAGCCAGACCGTGGGCAGAGCAATTAACCACCAGTTGTCACGCTTAGAGTGGGTCGCGTGGCTGGTGCAGAGGTTTGTTTTGGTCCGCCTTGCTGCTAACGTCTCAGCCTGGCATAGGCACCGGTAACGACATCGCAGGCCCCTTGTCTTGGTTTCAGGAGAAGAGGTTCCGGGCGCTGGCCCCAGTTGTGAACCGCTGCCTGGAACCCTTCCCAGAGGAGCTGTGGACATGTGGCAGCGAGTGATCGTCCCGGGGGGGGGGGGTATTTGAGCATCGCACTCTCCGCTTTTGGTGGTCCTGTTTGCGGGCCCGGGCAGCATTTTTTGCCTTTTCAGCACCAGAAGAGGGGGTGGCACCTGGCCAGCACCTGGTCCTGCGTTACCTTGCGTCCCTGAGAGAGCAGGGCCTTGCATCGAGAGCCACAGGCGTCCACCTTTTGGCGATCTTGATTTACAGCAAGGCCTCCGGGTTTTCCGACCCGTGATTCTTTTGTTGCGCAGTGGGGCTACCGAGACTGGAAGAGGACCTCTGCCACAGGGGCTGGATGCCCGTCACCATACAGGTGCTCAGAGAGGGCTCCCGCAGCAGCTCCCCTCTGTTTGCTGGCTGGAGCTCACGGCCACCCTCTTCTGTGCAGCATTTACGTTGGCCTTTCTCGGGCCTTCCGCAGCAGCGAATCGCACTCGGCTTCATGCCATGACTGCTCCAGGCAGGCTCTTGGGCTGCAGGACGTCTCCGTACAGGGTTCCAAGCTCCGCTTCGCACGGTGCAGGTCCAAAACAGACCAGCGGGGTGGGGGGGGGAGGCCCAGATTTTCTGTCAGCCTTGCCCCATCCACTGCGCCACTGAGCCACGTTGCCATTAGGCCCCTTGATCCTCATCCTTCCTTCATCCAGGTGGACGGGGTTTTCCTTACGAGGTTCCCGTTGGCTGGCATCATGCAGGAGGACATCGTTGCACTGGGCCTCCACCCAGGAGATTATGGGGTGCATCCTTTCTGCACTGGTGCTGCCACAGCGCCTGCGGACACGGGGCTTCCAAAATACAGGCCATCGGGCGTTGGAGGTCCTCCTCTTACAAGACCTACCTCCGTCCCCACCTCGGGCAGATCTCTAACATCTTGTTTTTTCAGCCCCCGTAGGGCCACGCAAGGCAGTGTGGATCATTGGCCATAGTATCGTTTACTCGGCTGGGGTCTACGCAGCTTCCTCCGGGTGGGGGACCGCCTTGGGACTTGAGGATCGTCTGCAGGTCACATGGATGGGAAACCGAGGGATGAAGTGGGACGATCTCCTGCCGGCCGTCTCCCTCCAGGTCTCCCTCCAGGGTTCTCCGGATGCCCTCGTCATCCAGCTGGGCGAGAACGATCTCCTAGAACGAAAAGGGGTTGATCTCAACATTGCCATTGCTGCGGACTTGCACACTCTCGTCTCCAGACTCCCGAACACGCGGTTCTTCTGGTCAGACCTGCTGGAGCGCCGCGAATGGCCTGCGGCTACCACGGCGGAAAAGGGGGACCTTGTCAGGAGAAATGTTACCGCCGCGGCAGGGCGGCTCATCGAAGCGACTGGTGGCGTCGTCATACGGCACCCGGACATTAACTTCAAGCAAACGGCCCTCTTTAGGTCCGACGGCATTAACCTCTCGGAATGGGGGATGGACATCTGGCTCCATAGCATTCGCTACGGGCTGCTTTGTTGGCTGCAGTCTTAGGCGCTCTGGTGGGAGCAGGGCGGCTCCCCCGGCTCTTGCGGCAGGTTGGTCTCGGGCAAGATCCATGGCGGGGGGGGGAGGCTGTGCCTGCGTGCCTAGCTCCCCCATTTTGGGGACCCCCCCCTTAAGGGGTCTTGGGGGCGGAGCCATACAGCAGCAGGCCCAGCTTGGAGGCCGTCGGCTGCCTCTCACCTTGCGCCCATGTGGGCTCCCACGGCTTGCCACTTGTCTGCTCCCCTGGCAGGTGGGCTGGGGGAATGGAGTCCTATTGGGCAGCAGGCAGGTCGCCTGGTACTGGATCCATCCCTGTGCTATACTACTGCTCTTTTAGTTGTACTCAATAAAAGCCGTGGCCTGTTTTTACCCCAGTCATGTCTTCGGTGTTTTTCTTCCCCTTCATTCTTGGTCTCTCCCTGCCCCTAGGACCGCAAACCTTTAAAGTCTCAAAATTGATTGTTGTGTGGTAATCATTTACAAATTGTTTGAAGCAGCGTTTGTTATTGAAAGCTTGGACAGAATATAATTGGGCTCTCCACTTTTCTCTTAATAAAGGAATGGATGTCCAGAACGTGATCAGGATTCTGACTGAGAATGGGACCCTGAAACCAAAGAAAACCACCAGTGCAAGTTGAAGAAAACGGCATTTTGTGTTGGTGCGGCTTTTGTGGTGCACCCTAAGTCAAACTTTTGTCCTTTGGTTTTAGGTTTATCTGGGTTTTTTTGAATAGCAGTGTCCAGTCCAGAATTAAGATGAAAATGAGTACTCTTTGTCCTTCTGATTTACAGTATCTTCCTGTCAATCAGCTGAGGGATCTGTTCTGCCACTCTCGATTGTCCTGGTATAAACTATGCATGGCCCTGCGCTCAGGCAGCTGGGTCGGGCCAACTCAGAAGCCGAGTGAAAGAAGGAAACAGTAAATGGGAGAAGTGCTTGCACGTCCATTATATTATCGAATCCCCAGCAATGCTCGCAGTGCTGCATCCTGACAAACATTCAGGCGAGCGCACAAGAAAACCACCAGCTGCACTGCAGCAGCATTGCGTTGCTGCTAACACTTAACTAATTCTCACCCTGGCCCCAGTCCTAGGGAGTGCAGGGAAGGGTGGACAGCTAGTTGTGCACATTCCGGAGGTGTTTTCTGTAGAAGTTTGTGCATGTTTATGGGAGTGCGTTCAAAACTAATGTTGCGTTTAGACAAAAGTTCAAGTGATACAGACGCATATAAATAAAGTAATATAATACATTCAGGCGAGTAGCTGTGTTGAACTGAAGCAACAGAACAAAATTTTGAATCCAGTGGCACCTTTAAAGACCAACAAAGTTTTATTCTGGGTATAAGCCAGAATAAAATATGAACCCAGAATAAAACTTTGTTGGTTTTAAAGGTGCCACTGGACTCAGACTTTGTAATACGATACAGTTCTTCAAAACAATTATGTTAAGTGTTAGAGCTGCCAAGCCGCGGCCAGGGATCCGTGCGTCTTCACAGGATCCCTGCCGCGGGGGACAGTGATACGCGTTGCACTGCCAAACAGCCCCGTTGCCAGAGCGACGCATAGCGTCACATCCTGGCGACGGCGGTGCAACGCGTATCACTGTCCCCCGCGGCAGGGATCTTGTGAAGACGCACGGATTCCCCGCCGCGGCTTGGCAGCCCTATTAGGCGTACACTGCTACCACACAGATCAGCTTGAATCACTCCAGCCGGTCTCTGTGGGAATTTTCCTGGCTACAGTCTTTGAGTAGGCCTAACATTAAGGGCTTGTCTGCATTCTCATTTTTATTGCTTGTGTGTCTCTATTGCTCTGGGGTCCCCCCCCTTTCCTGCATGTGTTTTGTTCTCTCTAGCGGTCAGTTTGATATTACATTGTACAGACGTACAGCGATGTAATACCAAATAGACCAGTAGAGGGAGCAAAAACACATGTGGAAAAGGAACCCCCCCAAAAAAACAATAATAATGCTCAAGCAAATAAGAATGTGGAGGAGCCCTAAAGTGTTGTGTCTCACACTGTGGAGAGATATGCTGTAGCTGATTAGTTGTGATAGCTGATTAGCTGATTAGTTGTGATAGCAACATATCCTCCGTGATACATGACTCGTGCCAGACGTGTAAGGGTTAAACCAGTTAAAACTTTGTAAATAAGATGTTTGTCTTCTAACCTTGTTAAGTCCCCTCTGAAAGATGTATAGTGAAAATGAAATGTAATTGTAATACTAATTTACACTTCAAGCACACTGAGACTGTCTCAGTTTAAACCATCTATCATGTATTTTTCTGGGGTTGTTTACTTACTGGCTGCGTGTATATGGCCTTTTCACAAAAGCTTAAGGTGTGGCTGACAGCCTTAAAAACTTGTTCATTAAAACAATATGTCTGTCCTGTGTTATTAAGAAAAACACCCACATGGCAAACAGTAACAGAGGGCCAAAGCGCACAGCCCCCCCCCCCCCCCCCCCACAAAAAACAGGAACCCTCGGCTGAGTCTGCAGAAAGACCCCCGTAGAAAAGCACTGCCTTGCAGGCCTTCTGTGAACTGGCAACAGAGTGACCGGGAGGAGTGCGGCTAGCAGGTGTGCCTGGGGGAAGACTGTTGCCCACAGCCGGGGTGGTCTCTTTTCCATTTGCCCTGCTTCCCTTCCTCTGCGGATTAGTCTGTTGTGGACTGGTAGATTTGTTGTATTTCATGGTTTGCTCTTCGTCTTCTTATATCATAAGTCGCTTTGAGTCCACAGTCCGTGGAGAAAAGTGGGTTAAAAGTATTCATATAAATGAGTTCGTAATCGGGTCTTTCAGATGCATGGCCACGAAGGGTTTTAAAGGGTAGGGCCCAATACCGTGAACCTCGAAGCATGCAAGATAATGTATAACGCAGTGATACTCCTTGGCTTGAGAGCTGCACGGGGCTCTTCTGGGCACAGTTTCCCAGGGTGGCAGCTGCCCCACGCGTCGTGAAAGCATTAAGGCCTTTCCCTGGTGGGGCTTGTGCTTGACAGGTGGTCCCCTCCTTGAAACAGCAGCTGCCAGAGGAACACGAGCCTCTCTGACTTGCAGGCCTCATGCCAGGGATGGAAGTAAATGTGGCTGTTCTGGTTGAGGGTCACTGTGAAGGTGGTTGTCTATGAACTGGAGGCTGGCTACCCTCGGCCTGGCAGCACCCTCTGGGTGACTTGAAGCCACATGACTGGCATGACTTGACTAGGCCTGGCTGCTTGCTCCTGTTCACCAGCAGCAGCAGCCCCCCCCCCCCCCCCCCATGACAGCCACTATGATGTATCCGTTAGTGCTTCAGAGCAGGGTCTGCCAGACCCAGGTTCTTGCTGTAGAAGCTGGCTGGGTGATTTCGGACCATACACAGACTTTCAGCCTAACTTACCTCACAGAGTTGTTGTGCAGATCAAAAGGGGGGGGGAGGAGAATAATGTAAGCTGTGGAGAAAGACTGTATTTTTCCTAGGTAGAGGCTGCAGGGAGGGGGGAGGAGATGGAAAGCTGAAGTCAGAGGGGCAGATAAAGGTAGACTGATGGTCGGCTGGGAGGGAGATAGAGTTGCCAACTCCAGGTTGTTAAATTCCTGGAGATGAGGGGTGGAGCCTGGAGAGGGTGGGGCCACAAACAGGTACATTACCATAGACTCCACCCTTGAAACCAGCCATTTCCTCCTGGGTAACAATTGTTGCCAATCTCCAGGTGAGGGCTGAAAATCACTCAAAATTACAACTGCTCTTCAGGTAGCAGAGATCAGTTCCTCTGGAGAAAATGGTGGACTCTGTGTCATTATACTCTGCTGAGGTCACCAAGGCTGGGGCACCCACCCAGAGCCTCTTTCTAGAGGTTATTGTATTTATTTCCGCAACAGGCCTTATTCCTAGTTTTTTTAATAAACATCTGTCATTCTCCCCCTAGTCTTTTCTCCAAACTGAAAAACCCCAGGCCTAACTGCTGCTTATTGGAAATGTGTCCCAGCCCCCTTAATCTGCATGGTTGTTCTCTTCTGCATTTTCCTGAGCTCTACAGTTTAAATCCTACCCCAGCTGTGCAAAAGATCTTGCAGTGTGGTTGCATTGATAATTGGTTTCAATGGAGTGCTCTTGGTTTCAGTTGCCTGTACCATTTATTGCTAAAAAGCAAACCTTGAAATGCAATCTTGACTGCTGGCTTTTACCATGTTTTTAATGTGATATTTGGTATGAATTGAGAAAATAAGAGCCCTGCTGGGTCAGACCAGTCATCCACCAAGTCCAGTATCCTGTTTCACACAGCAGCCAACCAGGGCACAGAAGCTGCGGCCTTCACCTGATCTTACCTCCCAGCACTGGGTTTTGGCTGTTTACAGCCTCTGAGCATGGAGGTTCCTTTTACGCACCGTGGTTGGTAGCCCCTGATGGGCCTCTCCTCTTCCATGAATCTGTTGAGCCCCTTTTAAAAGCCATCTAGGCTCATGGCCATCAACACCTCCGCTGTCAGTGAATCCTACAATTTAATCACTCATTGAGTTAAGATGTATTTCCTTTCAGATATCCTGGGAACAATCGTGTTATAGTTCAGCATTGGACTGGGAAGCCTGGATTTAAATCCCTACACTGCTGCCATTAAGCTCCCTAGGGTAGCTTTTGGCCAGCACCCATTCACTCCCAGCCCGGCCTTCCTTAAAGGGTTGTTGTGGTTGGAGAATGAAACACCAGTGCCCTCTTGAGATCTTCAAAGAGAACATGAAAAAACCCTCTGCGGCAGTTCTGTCAGCAGCCAGTGAGAACCTTTGTGGAGAATCACACTTTTCCTGGTAGCCACGAGATGCGTGACGACTTTTTCCTTGCAGAATGGCTGGCAGACTGCTCTGGCATACGGTTGCCAGCCTCCAGGTGGGACCTGGAGATTTCCTGGAATTTCAAGTGATCTCTGGATGACTGAGATCCCTTTCCCGGAGAAAACGGCTGCTTTGGAAGGGGAACTCTATGGTGGGGTTGCTAACCTCCCGGTGCAGGCTGGAGATCTCCTGGGATTACAACTGATCTCCAGGTGACAGATCAGTTCCAAGAAAATGACTGCTTTGGATTTGGAGTCAATGGCAGTATTAACAATAAGATTTACAAATCGCCCATTCCCTACGATGTAAGGCTCAAGGAGATGTACAACCATTAAAAAGAAGTTAAGAACAAAAACAGCCCCCATCTGGCTTCTCCCCCAAAGTTTCCAGCTATTTCCCAATCCAGAGATGGCAACCCTGTGGCATTGGACTCCACGGGTGTCCCTCCCCTGGCCAAGCTGCGCCCTTTCCAGGCTCCACCTCCAAATCTCCAGGAATTTCTCAAACCAGACGCGAACCTTCTGCAGCCAGCGGGCGCCTCCCCAAACGCCGGTGCCTCGGCGCTTCGCTTCCCGGGCCGAAACGCCAAGTCCAGCTCGACAACGGCGCGTGCGCAGTAGATGCCGTCGCGTTCCTTCCCCTCCGCTCCAGCAGGTGGCGGCAGAGGCGGGGGAAGGGGACAGCGCTCTTTCTCTCCCGCCTCCTTCGCCATGAGGGTAGGGTGGGTGGGGGAGAGGAACCCACCATTCCCGAGCGCAGGTGGAGTCACGCGCTCTACAGGGCGGGGTAGCGACTTCCGGGGGCGGAGGCGTCCAACTCGGAAGGAGTCGTGAGGGGACTGGCCGTTGGGCGCCGCGTGGGTCCGTTTCATGGGCCGGAGCCCGGCGCGCGACGCAGAACCGCAGGTGAGTGCGGGGGGTTGGGGGGGAGGGGAAGAGAGAGGACGCCCCGCGTTCTCATTGGCTCCCGCCCGCCTCACCCCCCCCTCCGCGCGGTTGTTCCCTGAGGCGCCGCCCACTCTCCGTCGGACCCTGGAGCCCGCGCGGGTCAAAGCGCGAGGGGCCCGGATTGGCGCTCTCTTCCCGCCCTTTTGGGAAGCAGCCCTTTCCGCTCCCCGCCTCGTTGGGCGCGCGGCTCGCCTGGCCGGACTCGGTGAGGTGGCCGCAGCCTGAGGCGGTTGGCGGGTCTGTCTTCGCCTCCCAACGGCTGTGGGCGGCGTGGGAGGCGGCCGGAGTTCCACGCGCCCTGTGTGTGTGTGTGTGTGTGTCCTAAAGAG